TATAAAAGTTCAATTCTAATCTTAAAAGAATGGACATTTAAAGCAAGGTTGAGGATAATTTGGTCTTCCAGGTGTTGATGAACTGTTACTCTCAAGTATTTTTATATACCACTAGCAGTCCCCTGCCACGCGTTGCTGTGGCCCAGTCTGGTGATCTGGAAAATAAAGTAATGAGAAAGTGTTGGTTTCTAATATATGTAATGTCTTTATGCTTTTGGGTAAACAGTATTTCTTGCTGTTTCTTTGCTAGTGTGGATGTGGAGATTGACTGGTTTGCCTGCTCTGGAACATGCAACATATCATTGTCCTTCTTTAGGGGTCCCTTTCAAATCTTTGATACTGCATCTGTCATATACATATATGTGTGTGTGTGAATGGCTGGATGGCCCTTTGTCAGGAGGGGTTTGATTATGTTTTCTTGCCCTGGTGAAAGGAGTTGGACTGGATGGCCTTAAGGCAGCACTTCTCAACCTGGGAAGTCAAGACCCCGGGGGGGGGGGGGTCACCAGGGAGGTGGTACTATATCTGTCATAAACATGTGTGTGTGTGAATCAAATATATTTATCTATATCTATGGCTGGATGGCTCTTTGTCAGGAGGGCTTTATGTTTTCTTGCTATGGTGAAGGGAGTTGGACTGGGTGGCCTTAAGGCAGCATTTCTCAACCTGGGGTTTGGGACCCCTGGGGGAGTGGTTGCGAGGGGGTGTCAGAAGGGTCACCAAAGACCACCAGAAAGCACATTATTTTCTGTTGGTCATGAGGGTTCTGTGTGGGAAGTTTGCCCCAATTCTGTCGTTGGTGGGGTTCAGAATGCTCCTTGATTGTAGGTGAACTATAAATCCCAGTAACTACAACTCCCAAATGTCAAGGTCTATTTCCCACAAACTCCATCTGTGTTTATATTTGGGCATATTGAGTATTCGTTCCAAGTTTAGTCCAGATCCATCATTGTTTGAGTCCACAGTGCTCTCTAGATGTAGGTGAACTACAACTCCAAAACCCAAGGTCAATGCCCACCAAACCCTTCTAGTGTTTTCTGTTGGTCAGGGGAGTCCTGTGTACCAAGTTTGGTTCAATTCCATCGTTGGTGAAGTTCAGAATACTCTTCGATTATAGGTGAACTATAAATCCCAGTAACTACAACTCCCAAATGACGAAATCATATTTTTTCGAGTGATGGTCACTCCTTGTGTAGTGATACATTTTGTTGCCAAATTTGGTGTGATTTCGTTCTTTGGTTCTTTTGTTTTTAAGGCACTCATTATGCACAGAGCATTTATATATATATAGATTGGGAATGCAGGCTAGAAATTATTTGAGTAGTAGACCAATAATTTTATTATGCCTATCTCTGATTTAAAGAAAGAAGTTGCTGAGAAGGTAAGAGACAGGAAGAAAGAGAAAGAAAATAAGAGGGGGAAGGTGTATTAGGAAAAGCAAGGGAAGATAAAAAATACAGAAGAAAAGAGAGGAATCAAGTGTATCATATAAAGGGGGAAGAATAGAAAGAGTCACAAAGAAAATGCAAACCTGGGCAACGTCAGGTATATATGCTAGTTTGTACTAAAATTCCATGTTAATTCCTGTGGGGGTGTCTTTTGTGCATGTGAAAGAGGAAACTGCTCATTGTGTTTGGAAACTCAAGCCTCCATAAACTAGAGGTATAGGGAGTGCAAAAAGAAAAAAGAGAGGAAATGCCTTTTAAAAGACTTTAAGGTGAGTATCTGCTATGGGGAAAAGCCTGCTAATTCAAATTCTTACATCTTGAAATTTCTAATAATTTACAAAAACTTCAAATCTAATATTTTGAAAAATCAGTTTTGAAAAGTCAACCAATTTAAATTGAGTGTAATATTTTTCTACTTCTTAGGTTGCCAAATCAAATGAATTTAAATATTTTGACTGTGGAATGAACAACAAAGCAATATACAACATGATAAGGACAAAGAGGTTGTAATTGTGAACTGTTTAATATTCCAATGAGTGATTTTTTCTGCTGGTTACAAAACGTGGTATGCATATAACTATCCAACGGCTCTGCTTTGAACTGTCTTGCTCTCTCTGTTCTGCTATTGTGACCAACTTACTGAAATATTTCCATGCCACCATGCCAATTTTCTTCCTTCTCCATTAGTGCTAACAATGAGTGAAACTATCTTGTTGCTAATCTGACCCATATGCAAAATGTTATTCAGCTTATCAGAATTACCCTTTTATGTTCATCAAATTTATCTTCTGGATTGTGGGAGTTTAAAAATGCTGGGAACATGTGGTGAGAAAGAAACAGAGTAATAAACCGAAGCATTTCTTTCTCTCAGAGTAGAAAACCTGTCCTGTACCAATTCCCTATTTGAGAATCAGAGTATTGATAATTTCATAAGAGGTTCTTCTGCTCTTTTCCTGAGAACCTAGATGTTATCTTAATTTGGGTTTGTAATATGAACTTTCCCATATTACATATAGGTAAACATAAACAACATTCCTACTCTGCTATTGTCACCATTTCGCAATAGATAGAGTAGATATCATGTCTAGCTTGAATGAATTGTGGCACACAATAAACATGATTTTACTTTACAAATTTATTCATATTAGGTCCTCCAATATATTGCGGATGTTTAGGCTTGAGACCAGCTATTTCCTTACTGTTTTTCCTCCTTTTCTGTTATTGAATATACCTTATGAGACTAGGAAAAAGAAAAACCAGGCAAATGTATCTGTCTCTGTCTCCCCTGTCCTAACTACATTTCCACAAGCACCATATGTTCTATTTGCTCCTTGTGCTTCTGCCTTGGTTCCTCTTGTCCAAAACCACCTTCTTTCCCCACTCAAAATATTGTTTTTCTCCTGCATTACAGCAGTGGCTAAATAGTCCTTTCAGTCTCTTGGGTTGACTTGTAGAGATTTTTTATCTCTAGGGATCTCCCCCAAATCTTTTGGTAGTGTCCATAGACTCCCTTGTGGGACACCCCCAAAAACAAAGGGGGTTGCTGTTTTTGCCCAAGCCATTGGACATTAAACAATGCTACTGAAACTGCTACTCTTCTTAATCCATTTGTTGCCTGAAGAGGGTATTTTGCTTTGTTGAATGATGAGCATCGAGAAGTCCACCATTAAACAGCAACCCAAAATGTTGTTTCAAAAAGTCCTATTCATGGATTACAAGTGAAATAGAAAGCAAGAGAACAGTGGATAACAGTTCTGACTGAACTATTATTTCACTATTAGTAACATCTTCCTTGCCATTTTTACTAAAACCAGATCTGTCACACAACTGATCCTGTTATTTTTGTAATTAACTCAAAATTATCTAGTGCAGCGTTTCTCAACCTGGGGGTCGGGAACCCTGGAGGGGTCACGAGGGGGTATCAGAGGGGTCGCCAAAGACCACCAGGAAACACAGTATTTTCTGTTGGTCATGGGGGTTTCATGTGGGAAGTTTGGCCCAATTCTATCGTTGGCTTGATGAATGCAAAGCTGGGGTGAAAATTGCTGGAAGAAACATTAACAACTTCAGATATGCAGATGACACCACTCTGATGGCCGAAAGCGAGGAGGAGCTGAGGAGCCTTCTAATCAAGGTGAAAGAAGAAAGCGCAAAAGCCGGGTTGCAGCTAAACGTCAAAAAAACCAAGATTATGGCAACAAGAATGATTGACAACTGGAAAATAGAAGGAGAAACCGTGGAGGCCGTGACAAACTTTGTATTTCTAGGGGCAAAGATTACTGCAGATGCAGACTGTAGCCAGGAAATCAGAAGACGCTTACTTCTTGGGAGGAGAGCAATGTCCAGTCTCGATAAAATAGTAAAGAGTAGAGACATCAGACTGGCAACAAAGATCCGCCTAGTCAAAGCCATGGTATTCCCTGTAGTCACCTACGGATGTGAGAGCTGGACCTTAGGGAAGGCTGAGCGAAGGAAGATCGATGCTTTTGAGCTGTGGTGTTGGAGGAAAGTGCTGAGAGTGCCTTGGACTGCGAGAAGATCCAACCAGTCCATCCTCCAGGAAATAAAGCCCGACTGCTCACTGGAGGGAAGGATACTAGAGACAAAGTTGAAGTCCTTTGGCCACATCATGAGGAGACAGGAAAGCCTAGAGAAGACAATTATGCTGGGGAAAGTGGAAGGCAAAAGGAAGAGGGGCCGACCAAGGGCAAGATGGATGGATGGCATCCTTGCAGTGACTGGACTGACCTTGAGGGAGCTGGGGGTGGTAACGGCCGACAGGGAGCTCTGGCGTGGGCTGGTCCATGAGGTCACGAAGAGTCGGAGACGACTGAACGAATGAACAACAAATAAATCAAAGCAACGACAACTCTCAAATGTCTAAGTTTGTTTTCCCCAAACTCCACCAGTGTTCACTTATGGGCATATTGAGTTTTCATGCCAAGTTTGGTCCAGATCCATCATTGTTTGAGTCCACAGTGCTCTCTGCATGTAGGTGAACTACAACTCCAAAACTCAAGGTCAATGCCCACCAAACCCTTCCAGTATTTTCTGTTCATCATGGGAGAACTATGTACCAAGATTGGTTCAATTCCATTGTTGGTGGAGTTCAGAATGCTCTTTGATTGTAGGTGAACTATAAATCCCAGCAACTACAACTCCCAAATGACAAAATCATCCCCCCCTAACCCCACCCTACCATTATTCAAATTTGGGCGTATTGGGTAGTTGTGCCAAATTTAGTCCAGGGAATGAAAATACATCCTGCGTATCCGATACTTACATTACGATTCATAATGGTAGCAAAATTACAGTTATTAAAGTAGTAATTAAAATAAATTTATGGGGGGGGGGGGTCACCACAACATGAGAAACGGTATTAAGGGGTCGCAGCATTAGCAAGATTGAGAAACACTGATCTAGTGGGTGTGTTATACTGTTTTATCAGGTAAGCTTCCCTGCCCTAGTTCTCTTCTTAATTATCCTGGTGTATGTTTATTAAAAGATCCTTATACACGTGGATATAATTACGTGTTGGCAGGCTTCCTTCATTCTATTACCTTGCTGTCCATTCTAAGCCTTATTCTTTATCCGCTCAAGATTCAAGATATACAGGAGAACTGCACCAAGTAAGCCAAAACTTTACTTCTAATAATTTCACTGCTATTGTGGAGATTATGCTTTGTGTGAAATATAATTTTAAGAGTTGACATATCAATCTATTCTTGTACAATACTTGTTACAGACTGTGGGAAGTGAAGATGAAGAGATACCTTTATTTTGTATAATTCTATACTCTAATGTTACCTTTTGGAGGAAATATTGGACAGCAGAAGATTTGTACTGACCACTGATAAAGACTGCTAGTCCAAAGAAATTTGATTTCTACTTGCATGAAAAATGGGATGAAACCTTGAGCCCTCTTTATAAAATTTTGCCACTAATCTGGCAAATTTACCTCTCTGTATCATGGATTTTATTTGGATTACTTGGATTAATTGAGCTGAATGTAACTCACTTCTTTAAAAAATGCATTGAACTGAGTTTTAAACCAAATTCATAGGTTTTTAGATTATGCCCTTATTTCACCAAAGTGCAACTTTATATAGACTAATTCTGGTTTTTAATTTCATGAAATGAAAGAAAATTCAGTGTTAATGTTGTCGCAAAATGGTCATTAATCCCTCGATATTTTTATTCTGATTAAAATTATTTTAAATAATATATATATTTATTTTAGGACACACACATACACAAGCACAACAGTTACAATTCCCACTACCACCATGAGGATTACTGTATATACTCGAGTATAAGCCTAGTTTTTCAGCCCCTTTTTTAGGCTGAAAAAGCCTCCCTCGGCTTATACTCGAGCCAAGGTTATTTATTATTTTACTCTGTTATTAGTATTATTTTTATTATATTAATTTTATTACTCTATTATTATTTTTATTACATTTATTATTTTATTCTCTATTATTACATTTATTATTTTACAATATTTATCATTGTTATTATTACATTTATTAATTTGCTCTCTTTATTATGATTGGAAGGATATATAAGCACATTTACATTGAAGGAGGCTAGAATAATGGTTTTATCAGAGTTGAACAGTCTTAAATTACAGTTTTATGTAAATATTAAAAAAAACATTGGACATTCTGAGGCCTCAATTAATGTAATTTTATTAGTATCTATTTTTATTTTGAAATTGATCAGTAGTGGCTGCATTTTCCACCTTCGGCTTATACTCGAGTCAATACATTTTCCCAGTTTTTGTGGTAAAATTATATTCAGGTCGGCTTATACTTGAGTATATACGGTATTTTCTTTCCCATATTAATCCTTTTGGAGACAATCCTTCTAGATTTACATACTGTATAACATTTGTATTCTATTTCTTATGGCCTGATCTCCAGACTTATTCACAATATAATTCTTGACCTGGTTCCATCTTTCTTCAACTTCTTGCATTCTATTTTCATCACATTTTGAATCATTTAATTTTACATCCATAATTTCAAATTCTATTTGGTCCACCATATACTGATACCATTTATTTACTGTCCACTTTGATTTGTCTTTCCATCCCAATACTATTACTGCTTGTGTGCACTCAATTATTGTTTCCTCGATGTGGCTTACAAAGGACTCGAAGGACTCGATGTGGCTTACCAAGGCCAAGGCCACCAACAAAACAACAGCATACAAATACAACAGTAAAACTCATAAAGCAAATAATACAACATCAAGCAAAACAATAAAACACTAAAACAATAACATCATGACGCATTTAAAACCAAAGGCCGGGCCAAATGTAATAGACAACATTTAAAAGTGCTGGACTTGACAGGTGATGTGTAGAGGTTTTGGAGGTAGGTGCAATGTGCAGACAATCCTAAATCTCTAACAAGTTGCATTTGGGACATGATGCCGGGAGTTTCCTATTCTGGAAAGGCACACTGGAACAGCCAGGTCTTCAGGCTCTTCCTAAAGATTGCCAACGTTGGGGCTTGTCTGATGTCCTTGGGGAGAGAGTTCCAGAGTTGGGGGGCCACCACAGAGAAGGCCCCATCCCTCGTCCCCACCAGACGCGCTTGCGACGCCGGTGGGATCGTGAGCAGGGCCTTTTTGTACTAAGACCAACATTTTTTGTTATAACCCAATCAGTCCCTAATATTTGGTTTCTGATTAAAATTACTAAGCATGGCATATCAGATTTTGAAAATTTAACATAAATGCCTTTTTAACTAAATGGTATTTTAACAGTACAGGATATAATATTTCTCTACATGAAAATGATTTTGGAAGTAACTTTAATTTTCTTTGGTGACAAACCTAAAATACAAATTTGTGATTTTTCCACTTTTCATTAAATGTTTAAAAGTTTGTATGCAATCAAATTTACACTTAGAGATCTGTGAAGTCACTTCTAAAATTTAAGAAGTTACAGTTCCGAATTCCAAAAATAGTTACTTCTACTGTTTAAAAATTAAATGGAATTATTTACTTCCTCATTATTCAGAATTCTTTTACTAGTCTGCTGTTATTCAGAGTACTAAAAAAAATACTTGGTTGAAGGTTGTTTGTTGTGAAATTTGATTTTTCCAACCAGACAGTCTGTTTATGCCCAAAAGAATTACAATATTTAGTTCAGAGACAAATAGCATGTGACTATGGGGCTGCATATGGCCACTCAATCTTGCACTCCCCCCCCCTCAATTTTTCAACCTTTTCAACTTATAGTTTACTTCCTAATTGAAAATAAAAGATGTTTCCTAGGATTAAAATGTCATTTACCCAAACAACAATTGTCAAATTATCTTCTATGCACCATTTTGATTTTAAGTAAAAGGGTTATAACCATCCCTTTGAAGTCCTGGAAGACCCTCCACCTCTACTGTCTTTCTCTGGCCCTCTGGTAGTTCCCTGACCCCAACCTAGCCTTAATGGCATCTAAATTGAGTTCTTCAATTTACTTTGGCATTTTCCTGTTTATACAGGATGTTTGAGGCTAACTAATTACATTTTTGCAATTTTCATTCATTAGTATGTATATGCAGCTCTCTTCCTTCCTAGGGAAATGACTCAGTGGTGAGCAAAGATCTCTGGATCCTTCCAGATATTCCTCTGAATTGTAGTTTCTATACTGTTGATGGAGAAGAATTGTTTCTCTTCTTTACAGGTTGCCTGGTAGAGAAAACAATTCATAGAATAATAATAATAATAATAATAATAATAATAATAATAATAATAATAATAATAAACTTTATTTGTACCCCGCTCCATCTCCCCAGTGGGGACTCGGTGCGGCTTACATGAGGCCAAGCCCAAAACAACAATTACATGAAATAAAACAAAACCGAAAACGCAAATAATAAACAATAATAACGCAATTACATAAAACAAAAGACAACATAGCAATATAAAATTACAATAAACACAATCACGGTAACATGGGCGAGCTACATGTAATGGATAAAAGAAAATTGGGTAGAAACAGATTAAAAACTCAGGCGAGATAAATATGAGATAAACAAGGACATATTATTTGTGGAGGAGAACTCGTTTTAATGGAGGTCGTGGAGCAAAACATTCCTATGGGGGAATGCACTCCAATAACAAACCCATTACGTTAAACTAAACACTAGTATGAGGATGTAGATCTACTCATCAAATGTGCAGCGGAAGAGCCAGGTTTTGAGGTTCTTTTTAAAGGTTTCTAGGGTAGGGGCTTTCCTAATCTCTCCAGGGAGTGAGTTCCAGAGTTGGGGAGCCACAGAGGAAAATGCTCTCTCCCTTGTACTCACCAAGCGAGTCTGAGAGACTAGCGGGGGTGAAAGAAGGGCTTCCCCAGAAGAACGGAGGGCCCGAGATGGTTCATGGAGACAGATACGGTCATGGAGATAGGCAGGTCCCAAACCATTTAGGGCTTTATAGGTGATAACCTGCACCTTGAATTGGGACCAGAAAATAAATGGCAGCCAGTGGAGCCTCTTTAAACAGGGGGGTTGACCGCTCCCTATAAGTTGCCCCAGTTATTAATCTGGCTGCTGAACGTTGGACAAGTTGTAATTTCCGGGCCGTCTTCAAGGGTAGCCCCACATAGAGAGCATTACAGTAATCCAATCTAGAGGTAACTAAGGCACGGACCACCATGGTCAAGTCAGACTTCACGAGGTAAGGTCGCAGTTGGTGCACAAGTTTTAACTGTGTGAAGGCCCTCCCGGCCACCACCGACACCTGCGCGTCNGGGGAGATGACTAGGGCAATAGACACGATTGCTCCGGAACGTCCCCTCTCAAGTAGCCGAGCTAAACCAGCTTCTTGGTTCACCGAGGAGCTGGCAGCGATGAAGCGAAAGAAGAGGAGACTAGAGCGTGTGTGGCGTTCGGACCCAAGCGAGTTAAATCGAACACAGTTTGTTGCCCTTCTAAGGGCATATGCCGTGGCAATAAAGGCGGCAAAGAAGTTGTTCTTTGCGGCCAATATTGCGTCCGCAAAGAACCGTCCAGCGGAGCTGTTTCGAGTTGTCAGAGGTCTATTAAATCCCACCACTTCGGATGGGAACCCTGACAACTCGACGGCCCGCTGTGAAGCATTTGCTCGGTTCTTTGCGGACAAAGTCGCTTTGATCCGTTCTGACCTGGACACCATGTTAACGGCAGTCTCAGAGGATGTAACACGAGCATCTGCTTATCCGATTTTGTTGGATTCATTTCAATTGGTGAAACCTGAGGATGTGGACAAGATACTTGGAGGAATGAGGGCAACCACATGCATCCTAGACCCCTGCCCATCCTGGCTTCTAAAGAAGGCCAGAGGGGGATTGGCCGAGTCGTTGAAGGTGGTGGTTAATGCCTCCCTTCAGGAAGGCAAAATTCCAGCCAGCTTAAAACAAGCTGTGATAAAACTGCTGTTGAAAAAACCATCACTGGATCCCACTCAATTCGTCAACTATCGGCCTGTTTCCAATCTCCCCTTTTTGGGCAAAGTCCTGGAACGTGTGGTGGCCTCACAACTCCAGGTATTCTTGGTAGACACTGATTATCTAGATCCGGCACAGTCTGGTTTCAGGCCGGGACATGGTACCGAGACAGCCTTGGTCGCCTTAGTGGATGATCTG